CTTGTTCAGTGGCCCAGGCTGGAGTACAGTGACGTCATCTCAGCTAACTGCAACCTCCGCCACCACCCCCGTTCAAACAATTCTTGTGCCTTTGCCTACCAAATAGCTGGTATTACAGGTGCCCACAACCACACCTGGCTAATTTTTGTATTTTTAGTAGAGACAGGGTTTCACCATGTTGACCAGGCTAGTGTTGAACTCCTGACCTCAACTAATCTGCTCACCTCGGCCTCCCAAGGTGCTGAGATTACAGGCATGAGCCGCTGCGACCCAGTCCTTTTTTGGATAATTTTTAACATTTCTGAAGTTAGGCTATATCTTGTATTCAATGTATACATGCAAAGTGGTGAATTTCTTTTCTTCTTTGAAAAGCTGTTATGAAAGCAATGGTGCATCTTAAAATCAGTGGCATCTCATGATCAAGGAAATGCAACAGTATGCCATCATTAAAAATAGTAACTATGAAAGTTGTATAGAAACATGAAAATACAGATTACAACCACGTTAAATTTTATACAATTAAGGACTAAAGTAGAAAGGACAATACAGACAAGTGCAGTTTGATTTACAAGTAATATTTTTTCTCTTTCACTTAGAGTTCCACTAATGTTAGTAGATGTGTTAACAGTTTTCACTTTTTAAGAAAGAAATAAAGAAATAAATACGCCTTCTCAGACTCAATTCCCATGTATAAGATGGAAGTCAAAAGTCAGCTAAATGTCCTTATTGATTATAAAAACTCAATAGTTTAATTCTTTTTTTTGTTTTGTTTTTTTTTTTGAGACTGTGTCTCCTACTGTTGCCTGGGCTGGGGTGCAGTGGCATGATCTTGGCTCACTGCAACCTCCACCTCCTGGGTTCAAGTGATTCTCCTGCCTCAGCCTCCCGAACAGCTGTGATTACAGGCACCTGCCACCACGCCTAGCTAATTTTTGTTTTTTTTTTTTTTTTTTTTTTTTAGTAGAGACAGGGTTTCACTATGTTGGCCAGGCTGGTCTCAAACTCTTGACCTCATGATCCACCCACCTCGGCTTCCCAAAGTGCTGGGATTACAGGCATGAGCCACTGCACCCAGCCTCAAAAGTTTAATTCTTATCACCTTCTTCTGTTAGGTGGAGTAGGGGCATTGATGGAAAGGGGCAAGACAGTGTCATTACTGAGTGCAGCAGCCCTGTCTTCACACTCTGGGAGCTGCAGGGGATTGGAAGGAAGCCTCAACCTAAACAAATCCTTCAAATAGATTATGGAACCCATGCAGACTGCATACCTACTGCCACATTGGACCAAGGAGAACTGGGATCCATAGAAAGAAGGAGAATGAAGATAAGACATTAGGAATAAGACAGGTACTCAAAAATGGGAAAGGGGTCAGTAGGTTCCTGAGGAGATGGGAAAAAAAGAGAGCTCTGAAAGGAGAAAAAGTTAATGAGAAACAAAAGACAGAATGTACTAGAACATCCTCAAGGACATATCATACAGGTTTTGGGTAAAGGAATAAATAAGTGAAAGTGAAAGAATGACTTAGCAATGCCGAAATGCTAACACAATGCCTCGTCTGGTGTGTGTTCAATCATTTTTTCAAATACTTATTCATTCACTCATTCTGAAAATTTTCACTGAGCATCTGTTATACGACAGGCAATTGTCTAAACAAGGTAAAGAAAGCACTGAACTAAACAGACAACACTCCGTGCCCTCAAGAAGCTTACATTGTGGGGCAAATGGGGGCAAAGTGAAAGGAAAGGGGAGGGGAGGTGGAGATGACTGATCATAATAAGCAACTAAAGAAAGCAAATAAAACATTAGATCACGATGTGTGCTGGGGAGGAGAAGTGCAAGAGTTCAGGGAGATGAGAGTATCTGGGGGTAAGAGAGAAGCTTGCAGCTTTAAGTAGGGTGCTCAGGGAAGACCTCACTGAAAAGGTGATGTTTGTGAAAAGACTTGAGGACACTACAAGAGCAAGCCATACGGATATCTAAGGAAGGGGGTGAAAACAGCAAGTGCAAAGGCCCTGAGGTAGAAGCATGTTCAAAGATCAGCAAGGAGGCCAGTGTTAATGGAGCAGAGATGAGCACAGAGAGGGAGAGGCTGGGGCTTCAGAGACAACTTTAAGATCACGACTTTTACTCTGAGTGCATGGGGAGCCCCTGAAGGGTCTTGAGCAGAAGAAAGGAATGATGGAGCTAGTCTTAATAGAGACTGCTGCTGGGTTGAGAACAGTCCACAAGACAAAGGAAAGAATCAGTGAGGTCAGTTTGAAACCTATCTTAATAACCTAGCTAACAGGCTTGGACCAGAGTGATAATTAAAATACACTAAAAAATGAGCAGACTCTGGGGGATGTTTTGAAGCGGGATCCCATGAGATTTACAAATGGATTGCATACGGTATGTGCTAGAAAGAGTAGGGTCCATGGTGACCCCAAGGTCTTGGGGTCTGAACAAATGGAAAATGGAGTTTCCAGGGGCTGAGATGGGAAAGGCTGTGGGAGGAGTAGGTTTGGATGGAGAAAATCAAGAGTCGCCCTTGGGGACATCATAAGTTTGTGAAATGATTAGATGTTCAAGCAGAGTTGTCCTCTTGACTGGAGCTTAGGTGGAATGAATATCTTTACAAATGATCAAAGGACAGAAAAACGAGAAATTAAAACATGAGAATGAGACCAAATGAAAGAGTCAGATAGATAAAACAATAATACTAACAATAAAACAAAAGAGAGAGGAACAGAAAAGAGGAAACTGTCTGCAAAACGGGAAAGAATGAGAGGGAGGCAAGGTGAGAGCTGCTTCCAAGTGCTCACATTGTCAGGTAACCCTCCCATCCACCATTTCCCCTTTTGCCATTCTGCTAAACTAAGAACATGTGTCTGACTCTGCTGCTGCCTGACACTAAATACCAGCGACATGATGATTTCTTGTACGTTTCTCTTAAATGTGCTCACGTTTGTCTGAAATGTGTTCATTCCGGTCAGGCTGTAGGATCACAGGAAATTGGAAATCTGGTCACAGCTCAGAGGCATCCAGCCTTCTGCATCATACACTGCTGACCCAGTCTGCATCCTCTTTAAGAGCTGCTTGCTGTGGAATAAGAATTGTTCTCAGGTCTTTCCTCTGCACTCCTGACTTAGGCAGGCTGGGGAAATGCTGTTCACCATTAATAAGGAGGATTAGGGAGACATGAACAGAGGGAAGGCAGACGATGAGGTGGGGAATTCCCCAGTCAGCAGCTTTCTCTGCTCTTGCCTGAAGTTAGGTAGCAAGCCTGATTTAAAGCAAAGAATTAGCTCCTCTGGAATAATCCCAGGAAAGCCATCTCACAGCCTTTCCTTTTGGGTTTATTTCCTTGGTTCTGCATTTCCACAGCAAAGCTGGAGGACCTAAGGTAACCCAAAAGTCCTGGAGCTTACCTAACTACTTACTGGCTGTATCACCTTGGGCAAGTCACACAACCTGTCAGCGCTGGGCTGTCTCATTTGGAAAAATGAAGATAATTAGCAGCTGCCTTCCAGAAGGCAGGATGCCCAGCCAGATGATCTGGCTCAGCCCCTTCCCACTCTGATCATGTGATGTTTATAGACAGTGAAATGCACAGGGCAGGAGTTAAGAGATGTGAGCAGGAAACAGATGAGCTGGGTCATCTCACACTCTCTCCCAGTGGAACTTCTTATGGGATCTTTAGCCAAAAGAGAAAACCCCTATCTTGGCTCTCTGTTCTGTGCAGAGTAGTGGAACATGAAACAATAAGGAAAACCAAATACTTCGCATTCAGTCAAAGCTGGGTTTGAATTCTTGGTTCCAACACTTCTTAAAACATAACATTGGCAAATGACTTCCATTCTCTATGTCTTAGGGAACTCATCTGTAAAATGAATACAGAGTAACACAAAGAAATCCAGCTTGCTAAGAATATTAAATAAGATGGTGTCAACAGAAAGCAGATGGACAGAAATTAAATAAACAAATAACTAAGTAAATAAAGATAATAAAGTTAAAATGCTTAGTTTATCAGTAGTAGTACAGACATAAAAACAGAAATCATTCTAGGTATTTCAGACAAGAGGTACTTAATAGAGAGGATTGTTTACGCAGGTGATGGACATGCACCCAGCATCCCCTCGCCTCCAACCTCAGCTCAGGCTCTGGAAATCCAAACTCCAGCCTAGGCCTAGGATTCCAGCATCCTCATTACTTGTGAGAGAAAATCAGACATTAATGACAAATCTGAAGGCAGACTGAAGAGAGGAGAGCACTGGGCTCTGGAACTGCTGGGACACAAAATGGTGATGAGAGGCAAAAAATAACTTACAGAATTGCCTAGTGCTTGTGAGAAACACCTTTTTCCTAATCTTGGTTTCCACAGGGGAAAGATTTCCCTGAAAAACAGCTGTCTTTTCCCATTCCATTAGAGTGGGGGAATGGAGTGATTCATTTGTCTGAATTTGGGAAGAACAACTGAACCTGCATAGCTCAGCTCAGCTCCATCCTCATCTCAGGCACCAGCTACTCTCAGGCAGCTGGCATTCCCGGTAATTTCAGTGAGCACCAGTGGGATGGGGGAACATCCTGCAATGACTGGATAGATAAAGTGATCTAATCCTTGGTTATAGTGATGGGCCATTTGCTTCTCATGGGGAGAGCTAGAATCACCTCCCATAGAAATAAAGATGAGCCATTTTGGCTGCCATTTTGACTCTCTTATTTCCCAATTTGTTCAAAGCCCAGGTAGGCATATAATACTACACAGCCATAAAAAAGGAAGAAATCGTGTTCTTTGCAGCAACATGGATGCAGCTGGAGGCCACTGATTTAAGCAAATTAATACATGAACAGAAACCCAAATACCAGACCTTCTCACCTATAAGTGGGAGCTAAACACTGAGTCCTCATGGACATAAAGGTGGCAACAATGGACACTGGAGACTATTAGGGTGGGGAGGGTGGAAGAGAGGCCAGGGTTGAAAACTAACTATTGGGTAGTATGCTCAGTACCTGGGTGACAAGATTGTGTATATCCCAAACCTCATCATCAAGCAATATTCCCAGGTAACAAACAGGCTCATGTACCCTCTGAATCTAAAATAAAAGTCAGGGGAAAAAAACTCAGGTAGGGAATAAAGGTAAGACCCCCTTAGAAGCTCCCAAAAATGAGGATTAGACATGGTCTTTGATCTAAAGCTGCCTAACTATACCCATTACAATTAGTAAGAATTATCATGAACCAATTAAGGCTGTAAATTGATCTTGTTATCAAAACTCAATGTTTATCAGCCAAACCCCATCCTTTTGTTTTCCAGTGGATTTACCTTCCTCCTCCAGTTGTTGTCAGGTCACTGGGAAAATCTGTTTAACAGGCAGACATGCAGGCTCCAACCGCTGGGGTTCTGAGTCAGTCACCATCTCTTTTACAGACACCCCAAGTGATTGCCATACTTTGGGACGTAAGGTTTATCACTAGTGATTCTTAACCTTGGCTGCACATTGGAATAACCTGGAAAGCTCTAAAAACTACTGAGGACTGGGCCCCACTTCCAAAAATTCAGATTTAATTGATTATGCATGAAGCTTGGGTATCTGGACTTTTTCAAAGTTCTCCAGGTAATTCTACTGGTCAGCCTGGGTGAGACCCACTGGTATATCCTCTCAAAAGAAATCATTCTTTAAAAGATTTGTTGGCCAGGCACAGTGGCTCATGCCTGTAATCCCAACACTTTGGGAGGCCAAGGCAAGTGGATCACTTGAGGTTGGAAGTTCAAGACCAGCCTGACCAATATGGTGAAACCCTGTCTCTACTAAAAATAATAATAATAATAAAAAAATAAAAATAAATAAATAAATAAAAATTGAAAATTAGCCCGGCATGGTATTACATGCCTGTAATCCCAGCTACTTGGGATACTGAGACAAGAGAATCACTTGAACCCAAGAGGCGAAGATTGCAGTGAGCCGAGATGGCGCCATTGCTCTCTAGCATGGGCAACAAGAGTGAAACTCCATCTCAAAAAAAAAAAAAAAAAAGATTTGTTGATGGCAGGGAAAGCTTTCCGTTCATTGGATGCCTCCTGGTCTCTGGAGTTCCTATTTCTCTATAAAGGACAACATGGTAGCTGAAGGCATTTTTGGAAATGCAGGCCAAAATCCCAAAATCCCACTGACAGCATCAAAACTCATTACCGTTCTATGGCCGCCCAGCTCCTCATTCCACCCTACTCCATTGTGGTTCTAACCCGCTTTCAAATGAAGTGCAATTTACATCTCTTTAACTAGACTGGTGTTATTACCATTGCAATCCTATTGATTGCAGCGCTGCTCTTAGCAACTAGCTCCAATTTGATCATCCTTAGTCATTCTTGCATAACTACATGTGTATAAACAAGCCCTGGTATTTAGCTAGCACATGTTTTGGGATGAGAAGGATCATCTTTAAATCACTAACCTGCTTGTGAAATGAACACAAAACAGTCAAAGCCCCCCACTTCAGGGATTCTTAATCCTCTAGATTTTCCTTCTGAGGAAGGCATGAGTAGGGCAAAGATCTGAGGTCAGGTTTTATAGGAGTCAGTTTCCATCTTGTATGGATGCTTCATTTTAAAGGGAAGGGAAGAGAGCACAAGAGATGCAGTTGATTCACCTGAACGTTTCACTCGTTCCTGGAGGGGCAGTAAACACAGCCTACTCTTCCTGAATCCAAACCTGGTACGCTGGAAACCACCCCATAAAAGCACCTTTATTTGTCCTGATTATGGTCTTTAATGTAAACCCTGAGGACAGCAAAAGGAAGACATCTGGGAACAGGAGACTGCGTTCCAGGAGTGGAACGTCTATGAGCAATGTGGAGAGAAAATGAAGTGAGGCAGAGGTTAGGAAGGATCTAGAAGTGGAAGACAGCAAACAGGGTTCCTTGTACCTTGTTATCTTGAGACAGAAGTGACTAGGCATGATAAAGGTAACTGCCAACTATACATGTCAAATATGTTGGCTCAGTAGTGATTTCAAAGGATGATGTAGAAAATGGCAGCTGGGAGTTGTTGACCAAGGGGCTGTACCTCTCTGGGAAGAAGCAGGGAAACAGACAGATCACAGAATTTATTTTTAAAAAAAAGTAGCAAAGGTTGTATTGTTTGATCAGGAATGGCATCACTACAACTTTATAATCTGAGGGCTCTCATTGGGTATGGTAAAAGAGGAACAGAGGAAAATAGAGAATGATCCAAACCAAGTAACAGGAAAAAAGGGATCAGCAATGCTTCCAAGAGAAAAATCAAAGTCTATTGCCCAAAACCCCAGGTCTTTTTTTTTTTTAGAAAAAGAAAGAAAAAAAGAGAAAGAAAAAAAAAGAATGAAAGAGAGAAAGAAAAAAAAAAGAATGAAAGAGAGAAAGAAAAAGGAAGAGAAAGAGGGAGAGAGAATGGGAGTCTTTTTTTTCTTTAATTTTACTTTAAGTTCTGGGGTACATGTGCAGATCTTGCAGGAGTGTTACATAGGTATACACATGCCATGGTGGTTTGCTGCTCCATCTCCCTGTCACCTACATTAGGTATTTCTCCTAACGTTATCCCTCCCTAATCCCCCCACCTCTTCTATGCCTCCCCTAGCCCCCTACCCCCCAACAGACCCAAACCCCAGTGTATGATGTTCCCCTCCCTGTGTCCATGTGTTCTCATTGTTCAACACCCACTTATGAGTGAGAACATGCGGTGTTTGGTTTCCTGCTCTTGTGTCAGTTTCCTGCATCTACAACCATCTGATCTTTGACAAACCAGACAAAAACAAGCAATGGGGAAAGGATTCCCTGTTTAATAAATGGTGTTGGGAAAACTGGCTAGCCATGTGCAGAAAGCTGAAACTGGACTCCTTCCTTACACCTTATACAAAAATTAACTCCAGATGGATGAAAGATTTAAACATAAGACCTAACACCGTAAAAACCCTGGAAGAAAACCTAGGCAACACCATTCAGGACATAGGCATAGGCAAGGACTTCATGACTAAAACCCCAGGTCTTTATGATTCAGTCCCTGCCTACCTCCCCAGTCTCATGTTCTGATACCCACAGCCCAAGTCCTCTCTACAGCTATGGACTATACTGCTGAAATGAGGCAGAAGAAACAGGGTGGTTGGGACCAGGAATCTCTGGGTTGAAAACCTTAGCTCTGGGCTCAATCATGCACTCATTTTGTGACAACAGGGCAACTACTTTAAAATCCCAGACCATTCGGAGCCCGAAGAAATTCAGTGTTTCCAGCAGATGCAAGGCACTCTCCATTCCGGTCCAGTCAGTCTCTCTCCCAAGCGTCCCCAGTACAGAAAATTTGCCTCAAGACCCAGAGTGACTCATCCCAAACGGCCCAAGCCCAGAAATCTTAGGAGATCGAGTTTGTGTTTTGGGACTTTACCCAGGCAACAAAGGTTTTCGGAAGGGCAATTATAATCCTCCCCAAATTAGCTGCCCAGCTGCAGTTTGTAGAGGAGGCCTAGTATCTATCAGAAACATCCACTCGGGAAGAAACTGTATTTCCATAAGGAAACACGAAGAATGGGGGTGCCATGAACCATTACTTGGATACTTGGGATACGTGCTTTTGTTATCCCCCTTTTATGCCAACTCAAAATCCAGTCCTTTTCTTGTCAAATATAATAGTGCCAGAGCGAAACGGACAAGACATACAATAAAGTTGAGGTAGAGAAACACAAAGACCTGGATTGTAATCTATTTATTTTCCAGGGGAAAAAAAGTAACAACTATTCTAGCTAAGAAAATAGCCCGGTATTTGGTCATTGTTTTTTCCCGTTTTCCCTTCAATTTAAGAGAAAAACTTTTCAAATTCACACAAAATGGAACACACTGTCTACTTTTCTGTGGCCGTCTTCAAACACATAACCTTTCAGGTCACCATGAAACACTTTTTTTGAAATATGTCTCAATCTGTCTTTCAGTGTGACAATGAAATTACCAGGCAGCTCGGCATGTGACATGACTGAATTAGGCAGCTATCATGATCAGACTCTGTTCTTTACTTCCTGAGAGAGGGGCAGAAAAGATTGAAAAAAAAAAAAAATCCTGGAATGGAATCAGGATTCTTTGTACGAGGGAAGTGGCCCCGTGAAATCACATCGTTCCCTTCTTCGAGACATCTCAAGTCAGTTTAACTAGTGATGCAGAGCCAGGGTTGCTTAAACTCCTCTCTCACCACTTTGCCAGCCTCCAATTTGTGACTCTGTTAGCTCCATATACCTGTCCAACTCCCTTTGGACTGGCAGGGGACACCTCTGAGTGCCTGCAGACTAATGTTATATAGAAGCACTTGACCTTTTTAAGAAACACTGATCAAATTTGTCTTGTATATTTCACTATATCACGGGAACAATTGTAAATGGCATATAAAAATTCAACAGCTGCTGGGATCAATAAGCTGCCCACCTAATAATACAGGGATGTACAATACATAAATATACTATTTTTAATTTGTAAAGACATGCTACTACTGTCTTAGTCGAGTCAGTTTCATTCTTAGGCTAGTGCAGGGAACCTAGCTTTCAGCCTGGCCTGATTAGAAGATGCCCACAGGATCAAACAAAATCTTCACCACAAGCACCATTTTTTGACTTAGGGCATTATCCTAGAAGGATTATGTTAAAATTATGTAAAATTCTATATAGAAGTAATATTTTGGCTAATTAGCAGCTTCTAACATATCTGCATGGATATGTTTATTGATTTTGCTGGCAGAAAGCAAACCCTGAAGGAAAGGGTTCAAAGGCAGATAAGTGTGATGAGGAGATGGTGGAGGGAAATCTAGGGCAAGCAGGAGTCAACTAAGAGTGTCCACACAAGCAGCCCAAGGCTGCAGAGGGGCCCAGGGACCACAGAGACCCAGCACTGCCTGCCCTGGGCCCCCTTTCTTCTTAAGGAAAGGCCAGGAACAATGTGTCTCCAAAGTGTCTTTGGCATTTGTAAGAACAACGCTTCACTTAGAAACACATGCAAATAAAATGAGATTTGAGAATTTCCTCTGCAATTTAAAACAAAGAAATACAAATATTTTAACAAATCACCCAATAGGCAAGCAAATATGATGTGATATAATGTGATATGTTGGCCTGTTCATGTATCATACATAAGCCTTTCAAAATACACATTGTAATATAAAGATCTCTCTCTCTCTCTGTCTCTCTCTCTCTCTTCTTCTCCCTCTCCCTCTATCAAATGGATTTGGAAGAAACTAAGACACTGTCCCATTGAAATGGCAGTCAAACACCAAAGAAATGTCAGAGAAAAAGCTTGAATAGAGAACACTGTTCACATACCAGACTCAAGGGGCTCTAGTAGCTGATGACTTCCTCATTTACCTGCACTGAGAGGACGCACACCACACACACACACACACACACACACACACACACACATACACCCCGTTTAGCAAATACTCCCATTTGAAAACCATCCAAATGTTTCTCTTCCTCTCTAGAACGGAGCTACCTCACTGTCAATGAGATTTTCTATAAATGTGCTTCAATGGTCACACAGGTTAAAAAAAAAAAAATTAATAGCCTAAGAAGCTAGGGCTAAAGACCAAAAAGTTAAAACGCTTACAAGGCAAATAATTTGAAGAGGCAGGATAAAATCAAAAACAGAATTTAAATGGTCCCAGCCTAAGAATTTATAAAAGACCAAGTCCTGACCTATGACAGAGAGGAGAACTTTATTGGGCACGTAATTCAGAAAGGCAGGAAAAGCTGATACACAGAACACAATGAATGTCAGGTTCAGGATTTAAATCTCAGTCTGACAGGGTCGGGAAAACCAATACAATAATGCCAGGGAGGAGAGACGTGCTGTGCAAATCCAGTGCAGTTTAGAACTTTGACTGCATAATTAGCCCGTGTTGTAATTAAGAATCTAGAGGGCCTGTTGAAATGAGAGCACAACGGGCAGATTTGGATTCTGCTGCATCGAACCAGAATACTTAACACAGCAAGAGTTTTCCCTGATTTTGGCTGGACGCTTTGGTAGCTGACAGCCAGAGAGGCTTCTAAAGATCTTCACACTACCTGTTTATAACAGACGTGACTGACAGAAGGGAAATATTTTAAAAGTCCTTAGATGGTGTCTGCATCTTTAGGTTTTCTATTTAGCTTCAGGAAAAAAATACTTTTTTTGGTTATAGTTTCACTATCTGATCATAGAAAACTGAATTCATTACAGGCATGAGGTCAATGCTGTGTTGATCTCTAAGCCAATGATAAACTGGCATTACAGGCTTGTTTTATTTATAGAGAACGATGATATCAAATTAGATGGGAAGGAAGAGAGGGAAGAATTTAGTTCCAATTAGAATAAGTGTCTTTGGAAGGCATCTACTACCAGTTTTCTAAAAATATAAGACAATGTCATGGGTTCTATCTTCGTCTTTTAAAAAAAATCAGAGGAAACAAGTAAGACATTTACACACTACTGTGGTTATGAGCTAATTCAAAGGACCCACCTTCGCCTAAGAGTAAAGTAACCTGGGAAAGTAATGCACCCTGTTAATTTCCACTGCCCTTTCCCATAATCCAATAAAGAAACCCCAGTAGTCACTGCCTCCACTCATCATATAATTGGGAAAAATGAAATAAAGTAAGATACACTTTTCTTTTCTGTTCTGTTCTTTCTTTTTAGGATAGTCCTCTAATACAAGTATTTGCAACATGAAAATAAAACCACACTCTAGAGGAATAATAATGGAGACACGTTAGCCTCTGCAAGAGCTCCACACCACAAATTTTTGGCTCTTGGCACTTGTGAAATACTCATTTTGGGAATATTGTTTAAGGCAAGAGAAGAGGACACCAATTATCTTATTTTAGCAATGATACATCAAGAAAAAACTCCACTGGCTACTTAACAACCACCAAGGTACTCAGAATCTAAAGAAAAAAATGTTAGAGAAGCATCCATTTACGGATTCAGAATCTTAAATCCTAGGTGGGTGGTGACTTTAAGGAACTGACATTTATAAGAATCAAGAAAGGAAACCCTCAGTAAAAAATGTGGTGAGCAGAAGCTCTTGGGCCCTTAATATAGTTTATCTTTCACATAAAGGTACCTTGAAAACCTTTACGCAAGTCCTTTATGAGGGAATAATTTCTGAGCTGGGGCAGACAATGGTCTTTCAAATCCATTCTCAGTTTAGAAAGCATTTGTAAGGAGGATTTTTTTTTCCCGGCCACCACATGAGAAGTGTGTGATGCCCTTGGAAATCTCTGTAATTAACAATAAGCCTCTTTCACAATTGAAAGTGGACCCTCATGCCCTAAAGTAGCACTGGTGTTTCTATTTCTGACCTACACCCTTCATTTTATGCAATGTCTTTGTAAAAACCAAGGGCAAGAACAACCTGGAGAGAAATTTTCAAATTTTGGATCGGAGCCACCAAATCAATAATGGCGGAACAAAATGAATTATCAACCTCCACTGCTTCAATCACAGGGAAAGGCAAGGAGTTAGCCAAAAGAGAAACTGCGGTCAATGTTAAGAAACAGAATGAATTGACTTTGAGGTAGGCTTATATCTAATTAAATGAGACTGGGGGCAAAGGTAAGGTAGACTCATCGCAGTTGATAAGGAAGTGATCAGAGGAGGTGACTCAGCTCAACCGAACTGCCTTTCCCAAGCAGAAAAGGAGAGCAGAAAGTGCTACGGGGTGTGGGACCCACAGTGGAGAAACTGCAGGTTTTGCAGAGGTGTGGTTTTCCCTCATCCTGTAACTATATGGATCAACAATTTCAAACTCCCACCACGAGCAATTAAGTTACCATCAATATGTGTGAACCTAAAGGAATAAAATCCTTGCTGTGGGAAGGCATATCAACTAAATGAAAGAGGAAAATGAAGCTTGTATGTTATGCCTACTAATGGTTTCTTACTCGTGAGCAAACGGTTTTGAAGCTTTTGCCATGTATCCAGAAGCTTTATCGTGAGAGTTCCCAGACTTTTGGGTCATACTATCAGCAGTCACCCATCTGATGCTGGGTGAGTCTTCGGGAGGAGTGTGCAAGCTGTATCTAAAGACAGAAACACTGCTGGTGACCTCTTCATGAATTCTCTTGTGGGCTTAGCACTAAGATAGTCATGAAACGGGACTCAGTCTGAAATCTATGTCATCACCAATAATACCCTCCTTTTTCTTGAAGACAGAGGACTTCCAAGGTGCAGTACCTTAAGAAGTGCATGGAAATGCCGTGTGTGAGGCTCAACGAGGCATCTGCTTTTAGTCTAGAGATCTTTGCAAGCACCAAGAGTTGGGGCAGAAAAATGAAACCTCATCTCTCCCACTGCACTTGCCATGCCAACATCAACCTCTGGTTACACCTGTACCCTGCACTAGAGAAAACTGCACTAAACTTCCATGGCAGACAGTCCGATCAAATCAGCAGCACTTTTCTGCTGTGCCCTGAGCCTTTCAAACACATACTCATATTTCCTGCCCCATCTGCAAACACAAAGTGTTCTTTAAATGTGTACAAATGGCACCCAGTGTTTTTGAAACACTCTTAAATAAGCCCAGGATGACTCACCATTTTTCTGGTCTTGTATGGCTAATTATATGTTCAAAAATCCCTTTAAAAGTCACAAAAATCTATCTCTATACTTTCAATGCGTTTAAAAGGCAAAAGGGTTAGACATGAAGGAGCGGGACTGGCAAGGCCAATAAAAAATTAACATGAGCACTGAAAACAGTCTTTGGCCCTTTTATGAGCTAAATTCACAAGAGTTGTACATGCGCTTATCAGGAAATTATAGATCTTATTATTGGGGAATTGGGTGGCAGGTACCAAAAACATTTAAATTCACTCCATTTCCAATTCATGAAGCCCATTGTAGCTTGGTACTACGGTTTTATTAGATTTGTACATTTAGCCAGGAACCTATTATTATAATAAAATACAAAATATAATTATTGTTTTCTTGCAGTGAGAATCTCAGCGTTATCTAACATTGTATTGTTTCCCCATCAAAAGAAATTCCAATATTGGATTTTTTTTTTTTTTTTTTTAGATTTTTAAAGAAATGTTGCTTCCTCTGTCTACTTTCCATAAGAGTTCTTGCTTTATGCTGCTCGACGGGGAGAGAAAGAAAAAAGAAATTGAGATGGAGGCCATAAGTCACAGCAGTTTTCCTTTAATTACAGTATTGTACTTATATTTCTCATATTTTCTGCTGTTATCTCTGCCCAGTCAAATCTCCATTCCTTATTCAGTGCTCATTAATTGAGATGGTGTTTGGGGAAAGCTGATATATAGATATGAGTTTCATATGGCCAAGTGCTCACCTACTATTACACACCAAATGGAGTTCAATACCCGTAATGGCCAATTTAGCTACTTGTCATATGATACCCAGTCCTTCATCCATCCCCTACCGATGCTCTGACAATTCCTCTTTTCTCCTCTCTCTCTGCCCACTTCATGTTATTATTTTCTCTCTTCAACAGAGAATGAAAATGTTTTAGAAACACTGAGGGGGGCCATATTATCCGTAAGACACTGCAAAACTATGCTAGGGGCAATAACTTTACAGTTGGAAGGGGCCTTATAGATCACGCCTTCCAGCCTGTCATTTTTCAAATGAAGATAGGGTGACTCAGGAAGATCACACTGCCTTAGTGGCAGACGTCAGGACCTGCCACCCACTTCGGAAGCCATCATTGAGCCGGGATGATGTGCCAGCACTCAGCCAATGGCATCATCATCCATAATCCTCAAGATGTCATGAGGTAGGTGCTAATATAGCTTCCACTTGGATGAGGAAATGGATGCACAGAGAGGTTAGGTAACTTGATGAAAGTCACACAGATAATTAGTGGCAGCGTCAAGTTTCAGCCCAAATTACAGAGCCTACTGTGTGTGGTTAGAGGTGAGGCTCTGTAACTTGGGCTCAGAACTTGATTCTGCCAAGTTTTGTAATTTACCTAATCACAGAGCTTCATCTCTAATCACAATACACAATATCATCTTCTCAGTACTAGCATGAGCTGCCTTTATACTTAGTTATTATCTATCCACACACGTAAACACGTGGCTAATGATGCTATTTTACAATAAATAAAATAAAGCATAGACTTTGGTGGGTTTGACTCCTGGCCCTGTATCTGATTAGCTAGGGAACTTGCATCGTGGCCATTAACCTCTTAGAGTATTTTTATCTGCCAAAAAGAGACAATAACAGTACCCACTCATGGAGTTATGACGAAAGTCAAATGAGATCACTCAGCCTTCTCTGTATCAGGTACTGACACCCCATGTTAAAGTCCTGGACACACAGCATCCATTAAATTAACCCACTGGTCTCAACAGCATTGCAGCATTCCAGTATGTGAAATGTACGATGCTCTACAAACGTTTAGTCATTGGAGTGATCAAAGGCACAAGAAGGCTTCTCAAGAACATTTTACCTATCTACCTCCTTGGGCATTTTACCTCTCCAAAAGATCTGTTAAGTGAATCCTATCAATCCAAGGGTGTGTGTGTGTGTGTGTGTGTACACACATGCTCATGCTAAGTATATCTGAATACCAATTTCCTGTATTTTCCTGATTGAGATTCCCTTTGGAAATTTTTACATTGCATTTCCTAGAGACACTTACTAAAGTTGGAGAAAGAATAATGGTTAATATCTGGGCCATTGCTATTTTTCAGGCGCTTTGCTATCACAGCACATGTAGTGTTTTTAGACACAACTATTAGTATAACAAGTTAGATATCAAGCAATGCATCAGAAATTCAGGTTTCTTACTATACAGAAGTTTACACTGGAAAGTCAGGTTCAACTTTAACTTTTTTCATTCACTCGTAGTTATTTATTGAGCATCTACTATGGATCAGGGACCAAGCTAGGCAAGCACAAAAGAAGTCTGTTCTCTTGAGGATCTGATGGTCCATGAAGGAAATAAGCATGCAAATAAACCACGACAAGAAAACTGCAAGCGTGCTACAAACAATGCAAAGCTCGGTGGGTGCACTGCAAATAATGGTCTCTCCTCTCATGGAAAATAAGGAGAAGTTTCCCAAGCACACTTTAAGGAAATAAACCAAAACCACAGGCATTTAAGGGCTGGTGTAGTTACAGTTGCCTCTCTACCACTAACTTCCAGCGTGATCTTGTACAAGTCATCTGACTTTTCTAACCCTTTGTGTCTCTGTCTATAAAATGAGATTAGGAATATAAAACTGGGCTAGCTAGAAACATCCTCTCTCGCAGGGTAATGAGGGTCACAAACTTTTGCAGGAGGTGGAATCTAAAATCTACACACATCAGGGGAAAATGGTGAGTAGGCAGAATTCATGCTGAACTCCAGAGTAAGTAGTTGGCTTATTTTCGGTAGGAAAAAAATATGTATATATATGGTATGAAAAATAAACCACTTTTCTTTACACACTAGAATCTCACTCAGGGTGGTCAATGAGTGCACACTCTCTCCAACCCAACGCCAAGGCAGCAAAATAAATGCCAGGTCAGGAAAGAAGACGGGGGATTGGAAGGGACAGGTGCATTTATGTTGTCTATATAAAGAAGAGTTCCTTCTGTCTGTCTCCCTTATTCTCTCTCTGATTCTCCATGTCTCTGTGTCTCTGACCTCTCCCACCCACTCTCCCACCCCACGCACCTAAGCCCTCTCCTCAGTTTTTCCTCTTGCATTCAAGTAAATTAAATAAATGCAAGGTGTACTTTGCTGTATGTTAAAATGTTTTGCATAAATGGAAAGTGTAGTACAAATGCTCGTGACTATTATTAGTTTAGATTAATGCCCTTAAAAGATTACCCATAATTTTCCAGGAAGGTATGTCTTATATTAAGACTCACAAGGAATGTATAATAGGCTTTGGAAGAAATAGAAGCCAAGGAGATGGAGTCTTAAATCAGAAGGTAGAGACACAGAAGTCCTTAGGAAGTTCTGGGTGTCAGGTGAGAGGAGGACTTGAATGCTTACTTCTCTTTTAATTATCTGATGCTCACACTACCCTCCTTTGTTGCCTTCAGCCAGAGCTGATAAGAAAAGGCACCAATAAATATCTTGGCGGTCTGAAGAGAGAAGCCATGTTTCATGGGACTCCCTGCTTCTACAGCTGTTGTTAAAATATTACTGCTAATTAGCTGGCTAGTTATATATAAACCCTTACAAAGGAGTATTTTTACACAATCATAAAATAAATTAAACTACCAAAAATTCACGCTGTTAATTAAAATAACCCCTGTAGGAGGGGGTAAAAAATCGCTACAAGGCTGAGGTAAACAGGAGGCAATTTCACAAGCACAAACTGATTAATTTTATTTCCCATTACATGTATTTGCTAATATCATCAAAATTGGGATATAAAGCAATTTTGCCTTGACAGTAGTTCAAATGGAGACGGTTCTAGCAGAGGAATGTAGCTAGTCAGATATACCCTTGGCCCTAAGGCCGCTCTCTCTCTGGCTGGCGTAAGTAGATTTTCAGCAGAGCTAGGGTCTAAATTGGGTACACTTAGGGGCAGGGAGGGAGAAGGCCCTCTCCTCAGTTCATCCCAGCAGCCTCATTGAACTCTGAGATCATTGGCAGCACGACTGTGACAGTCACATCCCCTCTTATCCAAAGATAATAATATCAGGATACAAGAGAAATTCTCTCTGCTGCTGAGGGGTAGCAGGAAGACAGAGAAAACGAACTAACCCACCTCAGTGAACTGGCCAGGGCAGTTCACTCTCAATTTACTAACACAGTTCAGCCATTCTTTTGAGCATATCTCTGCTGCCCCAGATTTTATAATGTAGCCTCACTTTTCTAAAGTTTGTATACAATTTCTATATTTAAATAATTGACCAAATCCCTTGTGGATCGTTCTTTTACAAAAGATCACAAGAGTTTAGTAAAAAAAAAAAAAAAAAAAAAAAAAAAACAAAAAAAACCCTAAAAAATACTTTTAAAACAAAAAAAAAAAAATGCTATTTAGGAAAGAATAAACTTGAACTTTCGCGGTGTTTGGCTCTTTCTAGCAGCCAAATTATACACAGGCTTGACCTCAGCTGGAAGACCCCTCCATATGCATAACATTTTTATCTCCCCTGGCCTCCCGTTCCCCCAGTTATTCAGAGTAAATATTCATCTGAAAAAAAACAATGTTCCTTGCAAGCACAAACATATTATTTTACACCCTTTTTGGTCAACCAGAAAAGTTTTTCAATCCCTCTGGACCCATAATGAGTTTTGCTATTTTATAGGCTCTTGATGTGGGGGTTTTCCATTCTCATACCCCTTAAAATGCATCTGCAGGCTCACGCCTTGTTTAGCACCTAGTTTTATGGATGGCGCTTCAGGAAGATCCACCAGTTTTGTCGATGGGACGCCAAACATCTGCGAGACTAAGCAAAAATTTCAAGCCTAAATCCAGATGTTTTATCTGTGCAACTCCAAACATCCAGATGTTTTTGGGGGGGAGAGTGTTTTATAAATAATGCTCTGCTTTTGACAAAGAAAATGAACAGGTGCATGAACAATCCAAAAGAGCAGATAACATGAGAAAAACTCATTGCAGCTTCTGTATGTGGTTGAATATTTTATCCCTGTCGTTTTGCTCTGCTGTCAAGTTTTCTTACAAGCCACATTTTGTACAGATTCATATTAACATTAGCCAGCATTTCCCCAGCTATTAGGGAGGCGATCATCAGAGTGCTGCTCCATGCTAGAACGCCAACCCTAGGTTCTATTGATTCTCTTCTTCTTAATAACTCCAGCCCACTACTGCTGCCCTGATGAAAGATCTCTTTATCCCTCATGCTGACTGCAACACAACCTTACGCTGGGTGTTCCAGCCCCCAGGTTCCACCTCCACACAGCAGCTGAGTGACATTCTAAAACTCTACCTGAGGCTCTCACTCTTCCCACTCAAGGCTCCCTTCAGAGCCTCATCTTCAGGACAGAGCCCAACATGCTTGGTGTGGTCTACAGGGCTCTAGGCCAGCTGGCCACAGCCTTGTCCTGATGCTCACCCCCCAGCACTGGCCCTGTGCTCTAGCCCATGACGGATAACTTGAAGTGTTCTGGAATATTCTTGTGAGTCTTCAGGCCTGTTTATCTCTGTAGCTGCAGTTTTCCTACCTGGACCACCTTCCCTCCCTTGCTGGCTTGGAAGATGTCCTCCCTTAATTCACAAGGACTCAGATGTCGCCATCTCTATAAAGTCTGTGGTGACTTCAGCAGCAGAGTTTGTGTCTCCATCCTCAGTGCTGACATGGCATTTATCCCAGGACATCCTCTCCCTCTACTGATCTATCTGTCCCATAGCCAACCATGACCAGGTCTGTCATCTTCATTCCCTAAACAATTCTTAAATTTTCAATAGCCTTGATGTTAAGATAAAGACCAAAGTCTATAGTCCCTGAAGCCCTGCTGAGTTCCTGACCTCTGCTCTCTGGGACTCCAGTCCTGCTGGTTCCCCTCACTCCCAGAGTCCTTATGCTCACTTCCATCACAGCAATTCTATCCTCCTGACGGGCATGCCAGCCCCTCCTCACCCCTCCAGCCTCAGAACCTCATCAATTCCCAATCATCCTTCACAACTCAGAAAAAACAGTCTGTTTGTTAGAGAAATCTTTCCCCATCCCCCTATATTCCACTCAGCTGGAGTCAAATTTTATGATTGTATGCACTCAGAACCATGCCCCTTTTCCTCATTGCAATTTTATTATATTTCACGAAAGTGAATTCCTGACTCATGTCTTTCTCTTTCATTAGACTGCAACTTCCACAACGGTAGGGCTGGCATTCTTGCTCCACTATATCCTTAGCCCACAGCAAGGTACGGGGTTCACCAGAGCTGCTCATGAAGGAGTAAATGAATAATTTACATCCATTCAACATACCATCATGACCGTAATTCACTCCTTGAGTATAGAAGCTATATTTTATTAATATTTGGAACCCAGCACAAAGTGGGTCCTCATCACACATTTGTTGAAAGAATATCAGATGCAGATATCAGAGACTGTGGATCAGCAGCCGAGCATCCCACCTCACCTAGCAGTGAACTCACCATCTCTGAAATCATACAAGGAGAAGACATATTGAATGCATCAGGAATGGTCTGGAAGTAATTCAGTCAATGAACTTGATGATCATTCATATCCCTTCCTACCCTCGTGTGCAACTAGAAAAGATTAGAAAGAGGATGGATGTAAGGAAAAGAGAGCTGCAGAAATGAATGAAATTGCAACACTCTCAGAAAGGAGAGTGTCGTGGCAAATAGAAAGAGTAGGGTTTTTGCCAAGGTTCTCTTAATTGCTGGCAGGTAGCAGACTTGAGAGGCTCTGTACAATATAGGTGTGAAGGCTGAAAGAGAGATGTCAAAGATAATAGCTTTAACCAGCTGTCTGATGGCTACTCCTTCCTCCTTCGCCTGGCCCTTATTTCTAGATTTAGATACAGCTCAAAAGAGACTCAGACTTTGACGAGCCAGGCAGAAAATTGTGCTAGTCACATGGAATCATTTTGACTGTTTTCTCAGCTGTTTCCCAAGAAAACAGATTTAACATTTGTCACCCTCATTCCTGAATAAGGAAAGCGATTTCACTTTCTTCTAAAGCAAAACACCCAAGATGGATTTGGCATTTGTTGAGTGAAGAGTAGGGTTCATATTAATGGCGTGGTGAGGGTTTCTTTGTTTTTACACTCTTCTATATGTTCACAATCAGTAAACTAAATGAATTGTCCACACCTCCTATGGGCTTCCTAATAGAATAATCCCACCAGGAAACAGCTCTCTTCCAGGCCCCTCACAATTTCTCTTTCCAATCTCCCAGTCTCATGTCTTTGGCCATAATTAATCTATTCCTCAAATATAAGAGTATCCATGAATACCGGGGGTAGAAGTAGAGGAGAGGAGAAAAAGGATAAAACCAGAATTGAGCAATACATGAACGGAGGGGTGCATAGAACTGCCTTTGATTTTTCTACATCTTTAAGTTGACAATTACAATATTTCAAATATTAGGTCTTATTGGCAGATTGTCGATTTTTGAGCATGTATCATGTGACATATTCTTTGGACATTTTAGTTCACTGGTGTTCAATTGCCTTGTAAGTTTTGTGTTAGCTTTCTTATTTAATAGTGGAAGAGATTAAGGCTTAGAGAGACCAAAGTCACACAGCCAATAAGTGCTGAAGCCAGGATTCAAACCCAGGTTTTCTGCCTCCCAATCCACATCTAATAACCACATCTGTACAGTTTCAAGGAGAGTCACAGAGATTTTCATTAGCAAAGACCCAGTACGCTGTCACACTAAATCAACCAGGGACAACCTGGCTCCCAAGAGGACATTTGAAAATGTCTAGAGGCATTTTTGTTTGTCACAAATGGATAGGT